TTAAACATTATCTTCTGAGAGTTCGAGGGTGAAATTTGGAAATAACATTGCACCACTGTTTGGACAGATTCCAGTAATGACGGCTGACGTGGAAACTGAATGGCACCTACATAATAGCGGATTATTCAATGTTGCCACTATATCAAGCAACTATATATATGGTTGGCACGCGGTGTGAGGGTCAGAAACAGAAAAGGAAAGTTATAACGACTGTCGGCAACAAGAAGACTCCACCTAGAAGAAAACAGTCTAAAAGCAAAGTGTCTTCGAATGTGGCATAAGAAATCGCTCAAGACGGTGGCGAAAGCTATGACCAAAACTAACGGGACGCCTAGACAAAATTCACTGAGGTATTGGAGTTGAAATTCCTGACGGAAAACAAGATATTCTAGCGACCATTTGCTGTTTCTGAGATGGAAACAAAGGCGGTTTAAGAGTTATGAAGAACGCAATAAAGAGAGTACTCTCAAGAACCTGTCAGCAACCACCCGAACACTAGCTTGAAGAATAGAGGCAGTAGAGGAAATCCCAGAACCTTTGAAATGCTTCTAAAGTGCAGAGGGCTGATGGAATTGATGAAATCTGATCTGAAATGCTTAAGCCTTAGAGAAGCAAAGCATGTTACGTGCATGTGAAACTGCAGTGGCTACGGAGAAGATACAAAAGGATCGGGAAACGGGAGTTGTAGTACCCCTGTTCAAGACGGGAGACCGTAGGAGTTCTTCCAAGTATTGGGGCATTAACTTATTGAGTCTCCCGGGTAAAGCATACACTAAGATGCTAGAAAGGAGGTGTTGCGGAGTAACTGACTCTAAGACACCACAAGAACGGGATGACGTCGTGTTCAGCAGAAGTACTTTTGACCAGATATTCGCTTTGCGCCAGATTGTTGAAAAATCGTTGGAGTTTGCTAGTCCGGTTTACACGTGCTGTGTGGACCTAGAAAAAAGCTATTACCGGATCCCACGCACCAATTTATAGGCGCGCCTGCAAATATATGGGGTCGATGGCCAGTTGTTCCAAGTCATCCAGTCACTGTATGCTTATAGCAGGAGCTGTGTCACAGTAAATGGCCTTTAAATGGAGACCTTTCAGCGTTGGCACTGATCTCCGCGTAGGCTGCACTGTATCCTATCCTGTTTGTGTTGTACATGGATAGAATAGTCAAGAACTGCCAATGCGATGAAGGTATCGGTGTAGGAGATGTGAAGTCGAGAAGGTTGCTGTTTGCAGACGACCTCATTTTATTGGCATCTTCTGAAACTGACCTACAGTGCTCCCTGAAAAGGTTTGCAGCCGAGTGCGACGTGGTTGGCATGCGCGTGAACTTTTCCAAAACGAAAGGTTTTGTCCATTTTCTACTGCCCTTTACGCTCTTCAGAAAAACTGAGGAGCAGAGGAGCAATTAGAGAAGTTTACATATCTGTGGATCGTGTTTCTTTGTGATGCAAAATGGGGGGAAAAGATCGACTAAGGCGAATGGCAGTGGGTATCAACCTTCTGCATGAACGAGTCAAAAACGCTGTGCCTAAGGCACAATAGGGTCTGAAGAATG